TGAGGTTATCCACTAACTTACCCTTAAACTTACCCGGGTATGTCACATAACCTGCTTTCTGGAATACCCCCCAGAGCAAGGAAAGAGGCCTCAAAGTTTACTCACTGCGTCGACCTTATAAAGATCACCTCCAGGGCCAACTGGTCAGCTTGGTGCGACACCCAACTGCCAACTTTCCAGTGCAGAGACTGATAGCCACTGCTGCCAATTACAAACCAGTATGTTAGTTACAAACTATGTTATGTTAACATACAAAGTATGTTACAAACCAGTATCTTTCCTCAGGAGAGTGGTGACTGTGTGATGGCTGTGTGGTTATTTACTCCCTTTTTAAGCCTGAAATTCCCTAAATTTAGCCATCTGAAAGCTGAAATCTGAAATTCAGCCCCAGCAAAGATCCTTGCTCAGCACTGTAAACAGGGGTCTATACTCATTAAATGTTACAATTTATCCAACAGCAATATTGATAGACGGTTATAGGACACATATTGTACAAGTGGTGTTATGCTGGCATTGCACTTTCAAGACGGTCCCTAAATTTTCCGGCAGTTTTGTGTAAGCAGAAGGATATTCCCGTCTTGCTTTGTATTCTTAATTCATATTGCTGGAGAATGTGGAGCTAACTTAAAGTGTGAAATATTTTCGTCGTTTAACTTCTGTTGTGTATTCGGAACAATCAATCTCTGTACTCGGGTAGTCGTTTTACAACTGTTTTTCCTTTTTTTTTTTTTTTTTTTTTTTTTTAATAAACCCCCCTCTCTCCCCATACAGTACCTCTACATTATCTTGTAACAGCGACACCTGTGACACGTATGTATTTCAAAACACCACAACTTCATATGTGGAGCCTAATCTGAAAAGAATTGCCGTCATGATCCCGAAGATATTGCAGTTTAAATGTCAGTAAATGTGGTGAAAATCGAACATAAAACCAATTTCACCGCGGTATCGGACCCATCGAATAGTTTCAAACTTTCGGCTGTGGAGGGAAATAGCAAAGGAGAATGTTTTGCATGAGAAAAACATGAAAAGCAATAAAAAAATACTATTGTTAAAGATATTAGCAAGGTTTTGCATACAGTCTTACACATCATACCTGGTCATACTGGAATGTCTTGTTGCTACTTTGCACGCTACTTTGTATATCTGTATACAACTCTTTATTACCTGTGTCTTGTCTTGTCACTGTCATTCTGTTGCACTGTAGAGTTCTGTCACTATAACAAATTCCTCGTATGTGTTAACATACCTGGCAATAAAGCTTATTCTGATTCTGATTCTGATGATGTAACTAAAATTGTAATCATGAATATTTCCATAAGTAACTGTAATTTAATTCCCCTTTTTTTCTCTAGTAACTATAACGGATTACAATTACATTTTTTTTTGTAATTAAATTACGTATCGCCGTCACATGTAACTCGTTACTCCCCAACACTGGAAAGGAGTGACATCCGACACCATCGAGAGGAGCTAATCCGCCATGACAACAACCTCTGCTGTCTGAGAGGTGTGTGTGATCTTAACAAACTTTCTACAGTGGCTGGAGTGCCAATTAGGGTGACCAGATAATCCATGTCAGGGAGGACACTTTGAGCTAGGACAGGAATTGTAAATTACCATTTCAATTAATAGGACCTGGATTACACTTTAGCACTGATGTTCTTGCTGTGTGCTGATTGGTCAGTCTCCTATAATCGTGCATGTGTCACTAATGCTAATGTGAAACGGCTGGATGACTCTTTCAGTCAAGGAAACAAACCAGTCAAAGCACAAGAAGAGCTGAACTATTTAGCCGAGCAAAGGAGCCTTTCAATTTGAATGTAGTTTGTAAAACCCGAAGTAGCTCAAAGTGTCCTTCCTGACATGGATTATCTGGTCACCCTACCTACTATCAACCCCCAGATTTTTACCTGCAAGCTGGATGAACGCTTGTAGGGTTGGATGCAGTTTAATGTCATACCCAGGAACAAGTCATTGTTAATACATTCAACTTGTTAATTAAATGTGATGCTTAGATATAACAGCAATCAGCTGCTCTGAATTTACACGGATGTCCTGAACTGTTATAACAATGCAGCATAGTAATTAGTAATCAGTCAAGCCTCCATTCCGTCAGGTCCAGTCTGGTCACACCCTGTGTTCTGATTCCTGCACACCTGAGACTGACAGACTTGTTAGACCAGCTTGTCTGTATCTGCACTTTGTTTTCAGTAACCTCTCCTTAATGTTTGGCATTTCTCTGCCTCATACAGCTTTCATTTTCAGTTTTCCAGTCCTGCATCACGTGCCTTCTTACTAGTCATTGTACTGGTTCTTTTGCTGTCCATATTTTCCATTTTCTGAAACCACTTATCCTATTCAGGGTCACGGGGGGTCCGGAGTCTACCACGAAAGCTGGGAACAATCCAGGTTGGCTGGGAACAATCCAGGTATGGCAAATCCTAATTTGCCATTTGAATAAGGTAAACAGGATCTCAGTTTCACATACCCCATCTAGCTCTCTGTGCGAGACACAGCCTTTGGGGTCGGAGCCCAGGGTTGGCCAGCATGCAGCACTCCTGGCGCAGCTGGGATTAAGGCTCAAAGGTTTATCTTTGATATGATTACTCAGCCAGCCACAGGACTCAACCCCACAACCTTCTGGACACTGGCACAGATCATAGTCCCGTTTTCTTATTCCTGCCCCCGCCCACTTGTCCTCACATCTGCAGCCCCTTTGCTAAGCAGACATGAGTCCAGAGCCTATGAACGCAAGATAGAGAATGAGCCAGGGTGGGGCACCAACCCATCACAGGGCACACTTACCCAAGCATTTTATTTTATTATTTTTTTTAAATATAAGAAGAGAGATTCTGGAAATGGTAGTTGTTATCACCAGTAGAGTCGTGGGGAGGGCGGGAGCAGGGGGCGGTAAATGCCCATGACAGAGAAAGTGTCTTTCAGAGTGGCAAGAGCATGTTATTGGCTGCCCTTCACATGACTTAGCGCTGTGTAGGGTGCCCCCTTCATGTGAGGTGCCCTATAGAGCAAGAGAACATGAAATGTGTTTATGAGAGCCCTTCTAGTAGAGAAAATGTGACGTGGTGTCTCAAGGAGTGCCCATCTAGTCAAGAAAATGTAATGTTATGCCTTATAAGGTGCCCTAACAATGGATAATGGGGGCATTATGAAGTGCTCTTCTAGTGGAAGAACTGTCCCTCAAACTGTTCCACCCTCATTTCCCACTTTCATGTGCTCTGTCACGCCCCATAACTACAAAAAGAGGAAGTTACTACATCTTTATAATCAGGAATTTCTCTCTCCAGAGCCAGTATCACCTTCTCTTGTCTGCCTTCACATACGTTTCTCATTCAAGGTAAGACGGAGAATATTTTCGCAAAACAATATTAATTACTTTAGCAGTAGTTTATGATTTTTAATTCCGGGACTAGAAGTATGACATGCTGTAGGCCAAAGTAAAAATAATGTTTAAAAAACTCTTGTGAATTAATTATTTTAAATCACTTTCCTTCACCATATAAGAATGATGCTATTAGCCATAACTATCTTCACATGTGTGTCTCAGTGTTCCTCTTAGGGGTGGCACGGTTCACAAAACCCACGGTTCGGTTTGTATCACGGTTTTAGGGTCACGGTTTTCGGTTCTGTACGGTTCTTGTTATTTTTTCATTTAATCTTTAACATTCCAGAAATGTACTTCAGCATATGATATATAGCTTAATTATCCACAATTTAGGATACAGTATTTAAAAAGTTATATCATGT